TGAGAGAGGGAGAGAGAGAGAGAGAGAGAGAGAGAGAGGGAGGACCAAATGTGATCATGAAACTGACTAGTGAGGACATGTTAAATCATGTTTCACACATTAGAGCAGATATCCTGTAAATCCCAAGAGCCTCCAACATGCGCCGCCTGGTGGTAACACCGGATATGACCGGTCACGTGCTCTGTCGGGCTCTTTTAAATGTAACACAGTCGGGAAGTGAACTTTTCTTTAAAAAAAAAAAGAAGTTTTCTTACTTAAACTAGCTGAATAATGCAAGTTAACTTTATTTATTTATTTCATATAATTGAAAGAATTTGAATGATTCAATGATAATTGTGCAGCCCTAATTAAACCATGTTTTTTGTTACTTGTTAATGCAGTATGCTCAAACATTTACCGTGGTAGCACCATGGTATTCTTTGAAGCCCAGTGGAACACCATGTAAATACTATGCTACACAAATACAATTTTCAGGACTATTACCATAATATATAATACAATCCCATGGTATTGGAACCATCACTGTTGTGCTCGCATTGACACAAAGTACCATGGTATTACCATAGTTTTTGGACATGGTATTGTACTCTGTACATTTTCCATTAGTATTATTTCAAATATAAATCTAATTGTAAATATAATAACATAGATTGGTGATTATTACCATAGTGTATAACAAAATACCACGGTATTATCACGTGAAACTATCACTCTTGTGGTTGCATTCACGATAACAAAAAATAACCATGGTTTTACCATGTTTTTTGGACATGAGATCATGATTTTGTACATTTACCTTGATAGTACCATGGTACTATCTATCTATCTATCTATCTATCTATCTATCTCTAAACTCCACAGATCCTCAGGAGCAGGACCCACAAACTTCCTAGGACACAACTTTACAGAAACAGAAAAAACAAACCGGAGGAAAAGAAACCGAGACGGCAGAAACTCGAAGTAGGCGGGGCTTTAGTAAAAACTCTCGTGTCGTCACGTGTCACTTATTACTTTTCTCCGCGTTGTTCAGAGCGGACCAATCAGAGTCGTCTGCGATTACTGGCTCATGCTTTTACTTTATAGAATTTTATTACGCGGATTGGCATTTAGCATTCAAATGCTTGCAATAATGTAAATGTCTATATTTTATCACTTACATGTTTAGTATATAACCAAGACCAAAAGAGTCGCCTCGGTGTTCGGGGCCTCCGCGCGCCCCCTAGAGGAAAATAACCGTGTTTGCAAACAATTAATTCCTCGTCCAGCGGTATTCGCCGGCATCATCGTGGCCACGTCGCGCGGCTCTCGCCATCTTTCAGAATCAGTCGGGAACACAACAGCCGTCTTTACTGCGCCGCTTCAACAAGCCATTCACCAGAGCCACAGAAGCATGAACATATTCAGACTGACGGGGGATCTCTCCCATTTAGCAGCCATCATCATCCTCCTGCTGAAGATCTGGAAAACCAGGTCGTGTGCAGGTGAGTAACGCGCAGTGTGCACTATTTAGGGCTGTTTTTGAGTGTGTGAACTTCACGTTTGGTGAAAGTGTGTTTGTGTGATTTGATTATATGCCAGCTGATCCGCTCGTTTGCCTTGTAAACTCTTGCACTAGGCCTCATCTGAGTGGAGTAGGCAAGTGTTGGTGTTTTAATGTTTGAATGCACGGTTGTTATGTGAGTTGCATTGCTCCTGAGTTGCTCCAGAGTGAGTTGCATGGCATATGCATCAAAAGCAATAGCGATTTGAACCAAATGAATGTTGTTAAACCTGTTTAACTTCGGAGTTTTGCTCTATGTTGGTTATCAGGCTGTAGATAACATTCTTTGGTTCTGATTGCATGCTCTGACCTCTGACGTGGCAGCAGGATCTCATTAGAATATAGTTGGTTTTACACTGACAGATCTCTGGGTTTGTTTTAATGTTGTTTTGTGACCTTGTACAAGAACTGTTTGCTTGTGCATGCTACACTGGCCATTATTGATGCCAATGGCATATAAAGCGAGCTGAAAGCTTGAAATGGGGTTCAGTTTGAGGAAAGGAGACAGAATTGTGTTGAAATGCATGTTGTTGCTGTTTTTCAGGAATCTCTGGGAAGAGTCAGATTCTGTTTGCCTTGGTGTTCACCAGCCGCTATCTGGACCTTCTCACTGCCTTCATTTCCTTCTACAACAGCATCATGAAGGTGAAGTTGAGCTGATTAAAGTTCAAAACATGCACACATCCACAAACCCACCAGACCTGTCATATTAAATATGTTGAGGCAAAATATTACAGACTGAATGCTGTGCTATAACAGACAACTTGTAGAAAACGAATGGGAGAAATCCGTTAAAAGACCATCAGAGTTTGTTTACTGTAGAATATGGTTGTGCATGAACGCCACCGGCCTGAAAAACACTATTTTCTTTTTTGTTAAAAGACAAACACAGAGGAAACAATAAGTGTAATTTGATTTATATATATATTCTTTCATATTTTGTATTATTAGATGGGTTGTCATGGTGTCAGACAATATTCATCTCTAAAATATACACCATTTTTATATAAAATAATTAAAATAATACAAATATTATAAAAAAAAAGAATAATATTTTCTATTAACACAGCTTTGTTACGTGTTAAAAACAGTGACATTTTTACAAATCCAATGCATGGCGTGTGTGTGTGTGTGTGTGTGTGTATATATATATATATAATATATATATACACACACACACGCGCGCCATGCATTGGATTTATAAAAAATGTCTATATATATGCCCTCTACTAATATCGGCATCCTTGGTAAATGTGAGCAGAGGCGGCTGTGGAAATAAATCAACATCGTTTATCTTTTTGATCTTTCATTCAAAAAATTCATAAAATTCTAACCTATCATTGAAGTGAAAGAACTGAAAGTGGGGGGGAATCTCATTATGAAATAAATGTTTTTCTCCAATGCGTGTTGGCCACAATTATTGTCCCCTCTAGAAATTCTTATGAGTAAAATATCTCTGAAATATATTCCCATTCATATTTAAAACATTTTTTAGCACACCAGGGTGACTAGAAGCATGAAATTGTCCAGTCATGGCTTCCTGTTCCACAGGATTATAAATATGAGGGAAAACAAAGGCCAAATTCCATTAATCATCCACCACAAAGAGTAAAACCAAAGAATATAGTTCTGAAAATCTCCATTTCCGCCATCAGGGCAATAATTAAGAAGTTCCAATCAACTAAAGATATTACAAATCTGCGTGGAAGAAGACGTGTGTCTATATCATCCTAATGCACGGTGAGGAGGAGAGTTTGAGCGGCCAAAGACTCTCTGAGGATCACAGCTGGAGAATCACAGAGATTAGTTGAGTCTTGGGGTCAGAAAGCGTAAAAATATCAAACAGCCCCAACATCATCAGCACATTTCACTTATAACAGGCCATGGTTAGATCTTCCATCAGGACAATGATCCGAAACAAACATCAAAATCAATACAAAAATTGGCCATCCCAGTTCCCTGACCTGATCATGCAATAACTGGGTGCCAATAATTGTGACTAACGTGAACTAGAGAGAGCATTTGTGACCCTGGAGCACAAAACCAGTCGTAAGGGTCAATTTCTGAACATCTGAAAGCTGAATAAATAAGCTTTCCATTGATGTATGGTTTGTTAGGATAGGACAATATTTGGCCGAGATACAACTATTTGAAAATCTGGAATCTGAGGGTGCAAAAAAAATCATAATATTGAGAAAATCACCTTTAAAGTTGTCCAAATTAAGTTCTCAGCAATGCATATTACGTTGCAAATATATTAAGTTTTAATATATTTACAGTAGGAAAATTATAAAATATCTTCATGGAACATGATCTTTACTTAATATCCTAATGATTTTTGGCATAAAAGAAAAATGGATAATTTTGACCCATACAATGTATTGTTGGCTATTGCTACAAATATACCCCAGCGACTTAACACTGCTTTTGTGCTGCAGGGACACATATATTTCATAATGAGATTTTCCCCCCACTTTCTATTGTTTAACCTCAATGAACGGTTAGAATTTTGTGTATTTTTTGAATGAAAGCTCAAAAGGATATGTTTTTATATTTCCTGTGATGGTAATTTTTGACCGCAAAGTTTACAAGTGTGGCCATTTTTTAGTTCCCATGATTTTTGTGTGTGTTCATATAGCAAGTGCCTTAAAAGTCTCCAACTTTTGTGTCATTCTGATTAGGGGGGTGTGCGATATTGACAAAAAATAATATCTCAATACTTTCTGGGATTTTATCGATAACGATAATTTGACGATAGTTTGCTGAGTGTGTTATTGTGCTGGTATCTTAAGCACTGCCGTGGACAGCTGATTTCTAAAGTTTTTAATATTCTTCATATTCTGTGTGCTGGTCAGTTCACACTGATATAAATTAATCTTTTCCAATAAGTTTAAACTGATTTTTACATTTTATGGGCATTTTTACCTGTATAAAGCCATTTTCTCTAAAAGTGTCCATTATCTTTTGAGCCAAATTCTTACATTTAATCAGGGAATTAGAATAATAAGACATTTGGGCTGTTACCAAGCAAATGAAATCAACACAGAAGCTGCATCTGAAGTGGCATTTAGATGTATTTACACACATGTATTTTGTTTAATGCAAGACATGAATGCATTTAACCTGCAATTACAAATGCATAAATAATGTTTTGATATATTAAACATAAAACGTTTAATACTGATATTTGAAAGGATTTAAATAATAAAAGAAACTTCAAATGTGAAAAATTAAAACCGCCAGTAGGTGGCAGCAAGTCACTGTTAATAAGTGAGTCATTTCGACTGAACCGAATCATTTAAATGTTTGATTCATTCAGGAACGAAACACTGTCATGTTGCTCAGAGACGCAAAACAGCACTGTGGCTGTGTTTGGAATTATTTTTGTTGGCGAAATAACGCAAAAACAGGAAATATGGCATCTAAAACGTAAGTCTATTAATTAACTTATAGTTTATTGAACTGTTGTAAAACAAATCAATATCACATTTGTAATAATGGTCATTTTTGGAGAAAAACGGCACACTTTGTATAAAATTTATTAACTATATGAAATGGTATAGATATATAAATTTTCTTCCCCCATGTCTTGAATTTGTGATCATTCTAAATGCATTTTAATAGACTGAATCATGCAGTGAAAAAACACACTAAATGCGCACACGCACTAGAGAATCTCATTATGAAATAAATGTTTTTTCTCAAATACATGTTGGCCACAATTATTGACACTACTAGAAAAATTATTATGAGTAAAATATATTTTGCACACCAGGGTGACTATGAACATGCAAATTTCCTGTTTCACAAGAATATAAACATGAGGGAAAACAAAGGCCAAATTCTTGTCTTGAATTTGTGATCATTCTAAATGCATGTTCTTAGACTGAATCATGCAGTGAAAGAACACACTCTAAATGCGCTTCATGTAATGTAGCTATGCGTGCGCTCTGTAGGGATGTTTTGAATGGTTTTTGCAGAATGCTTGATAATGTCAAACCGCACATCGTTAAAACAACAATGTGTTAGGCTATTTTGATTACTTCATTACAGTCACTTTACAGTCAGTGCTATCATAAAAATACACTTACTTGTAGGTTTAAAACACTACATGTCACATTTATTGTCCAACTACAAATATTTCAGCGAAATGTATATTTTAGTCAGAATTGCTGCGCTCCTATTTTATTGAGATCCGTCTGTTTGGCGCTCGTTCACTGAAGTCTGTGGAGTTTAGCGGAGAATCCCGGAGAATCCCCAGTCAGAGCCGCTTAAACTAATATACCAAACCAAACTAAAAACTAAGTCTTACCAGTTTTTAAAGGCCTTAATATGAAGCTTGTCACATGTTTAGAACAAACTGGATCATGCACTTTCTCCGCAGCAGCTCAGTCTGTGTCCCGATGCGCTCGTATCAAACTACTGTAAACGGTATCGCCTCATATCGAATTGCTTATAAAGAAAATATCGATATATCGTACAAACTCGATATACCGCCCAGCCCTACTTGCATTCATTCTCTGGTTGAAAACACTGGCTCACTCTGTTTATGTTCTCGTCATCTCTTGGTTCTAGATCATGTGGACGTTCTCCATCTATCTGGAGTCCGTGTCTATCCTCCCACAGCTGTTCATGATCAGCAAGACCGGAGAAGCCGAGACCATCACCACACACTACCTCTTCTTCCTCGGCCTCTATCGCGCTCTGTATCTCATTAACTGGATCTGGCGCTTCTACTTTGAAGGCTTCTTCGACATGATCGCCATCGTGGCCGGCGTCGTTCAGACAATCCTGTACTGTGATTTCTTTTATCTCTACGTAACAAAAGGTGAGTGTTTTTGGTTTGGAAACCCTCAGAAGTGGTCTGGTACTCAAAATGTGCTTGCTCTAGTGTAAACTGGTTTGGGGTTCAACCGTGATCAATCCTGAAAACATACTAACTCCAGGTACTCGATTAATCTGTCAGGTACTCGAGTACTCGATTAATCTGTCGAGTGCTCGAGTACTCGATTAATCTGTCAGTTGCTCGAATACTCGATTAATCTGTCAGGTGCTCGAGTACTTGATCTGTCCGGTGCTCGAGTACTCAATTGATCTGTCAGGTGCTCGAGTACTCGATTGATCTGTCAGGTGCTCGAGTACTCGATTAATCTGTCAGGTCCTCAAATTAATCTGTCAGGTACTCGATTAATCTGTCAGGTACTCGATTAATCTGTCAGGTACTCGATTGGTCTGTCAGGTACTCGATTGATCTGTCAGGTACTCGAGTACTCGATTAATCTGTCAGGTACTTGAGTTAACAAATGACTGAAATGCCCATGCTTGTTTTAAAATACATGTGAGTGAGTCAACACAAGTCTCTTCTCTCTTTTGCCAAAGATTAAGAGATGGTTATGAAAAATATGCAGAATTTAAAGACATTTACACAGCAAGAAGAAAAACGTTTGTACTCAAAAGGGGCAACTAAAAGAAAACAACTGGCTACGTATATCAATGCAAGTGAAATAAATGTTTTATATTAATTATATATTATATTTAGTTCTGTCAAACGATTAATCGTGATTAATCGCATCCAAAATATAATATATGTCTATGTACTGTGTGTGTGTGCATATATATACATATATATATATATATATACACATACACAAACATACATGTATATATTTTTTTTATATTTACGTGTGTGTGTGTATGTATATATATTAACAAAACATTTTTCTTAAATATATAAATGCATGTGTGTGTATTTATATATACATAATAAATATACACAGTACACACACATATATAAACAAACTTTTATTTCGGATGCGATTAATCGTTTGACAGCACTGATTATATTTAATTTATATAGTCAAATAATGGATAAAAAAAAATAAATGTGCTATACATAAACACATTTATTTTGTTTACTCATTCATTTACTCACACGCTTATTCAAGTTTATTCAAATGCTAAAAATCATTAAAAATCAAGATAAACTGACATTTTGTGTTTTGTTTTAATTTAGGTGAATGCAAACTTAGAACATTTGGAATCACTAATTTAACCACAAAAGTTCATTATTTTTAATATGCTGACGTTCCTTGTTTCTGTTAATAAAGTTTAAAACTTGATCTGAAAAGAGCTGTTTTTGACGGGGTAAAAAAGGTGTTTTTACACTACCACTGAGAAATTTTAACCAAACTATGTTACGGACTTTTAATTTAGACCCTAAAGAATCATATCAACTTGTGGAAAATGGGCATCCTATGACCCCTTTAAGAAATTGTGCTTCAATCTGATAGTTGAAAGCAACTCAAGTGTTTCTTTTCCTCGTTTCAGTGTTGAAGGGAAAGAAGCTGAGTCTGCCAGCTTAGGTCTGAAAGACAGCAGCGCATGAAGCGGCACGCGACGCAGAGGACGAGTAAGATGCTTGAGACGGAGTACGAAAGAAGAGATCCAGTCCTGCTCTGGATTCAAGCCCGGGACGAAACACGGCTTCACCAAGTCTTCGGATTCCCGTTTTATGCATCTTATCTTACCCTTTTTTATTATTCTGTATCAAAGAAAAAGTTTTCTACATGAAACGTGTGCTATGATTTGACCGGCGGCATCATAAACGAGCTGAAAATTGTGCAAACAGGCAGGGACTGATTCTTATGATGAATATTGATTTTGTTTGTAAGAGTATTTTCAATCGGATTAAATGCACATGTTTTCAAAAAGATTATGGGAGTATTTGTTGCTCCATGGGATAGAATTGAATGGAAAATAAGTGTTTGCTCAATTTCTTAATGCAGTAATCCTTTGTTAAAGAAGGTCGGTCATAATATAGTGGTTCCCCAAACTGCTTAATTGGGTTTAAGATGTAAATTTCTAATTTGTGCTCAAAACGGCTCAACTTTTTACAGTACAGTATTGACACTGCCGAGCGCGTCCGACTAAAGCCGAGAACCGACGATTTGACTTGTGGGGCGGAAGGTGAGTTGTTGTTATTGTTGTAAATATTGCAAATAAAACGTGATGAAAATACGTTTATGACTTGACTGTATGACCGACATATAAACATTTTTTTTATCAAAGGTAGTAAATTTTTTTTAGAAGTTGACTAATAAAAAATTTATGTTCTGAATTACTTTTTAATGGCTGCAACAAACTGCACTGATATATATATAGAGAGAGAGAGAGAGAGAGAGAGAGAGAGAGATAGATAGATAGATATGCTACACACACAGATCTGGGTAGATTACTTGAAAATTGTAATCCATTACTGATTCCAAATTACATTACAAAAATTGTAGTTTGTAACGTAATCCATTACATTACACATTTCCGGTAATATAATCAGATTACTTTCGACCTTACACACTTATCACATTGATTTAAATAGGATAATCTTGTACCATATTGATATTAAAAATATATATATATATATATATTCCATTCTTTAAAATTAACAACATGAATAAAAAAATTAAATGAATAATTTTAAAATAGCATAAAAAGAAATAAAACACTTCCTAAAAAAATGAATTATTTAATTTGTTTACCTGCATGTCATGTGACCATCAACCAACGTCAGAGAACCGTGAGCATGCAGGTGTGATACTTAATTATTAAATATTTATTTTAAAATCTCAGGGGTACTTTAAGTAAATATATTAGATGAAAGAACACACACACACACACACACACACACACACACACACACACTAAACAAAGTGTTCGTTCGGAAACCGATTAACTGAATTCCACACGGAACTATTTCGCTGCTGGAACGTCATCTGACGGAGTCGGACACATTTCGTTGCTGCACAGACCAGGGTAAACAACTAAACCGAGCGGCGCTGCGGTGTTTCTTCATGTCAGACGTCAGTGAAAGAAAGAGGCGTTAATTCCCGACATGTCGCAATATCAAGATGCCGAGAGCGGTTACGGGCTGGCAGTGTCATGGGGTTTTGTAATACATTCATGAAAGCGGAAGGAAATCTGGATTGAATTTGAGAAGACCGTTCTTCTGTCAGGATGCCCGGAATGGTGGTGTTCGGACGCCGATGGCGGATCTCCAGCGATGATCTTGTGTTTCCTGGTGCCTTCGAGCTGTTTATCAGAGCTGTGTGGTGAGATAAATCCCAACAACACTCGAAATAACGAGCCTTTG